TGACAAACAAACTATTACATACAGATTCCCTCCTACCTACAGTTTACCAAAACATAAGTACTCTTAACAAATGATTTTACAATAGTTTATACGGACATACTAACATACTTATCAGATATATGTCTTCAGCTGACATACCCATCAATATGAGGAGGAGACTAAAAAGGCGATTGGATGAGAGACCTCCTTCCTCGACAAACTATGGTAATTGATTAAAAAGAAGAGGTACTGCTGAGTGTTATCCTTCCCCATGCCTGACATGTCAGTTTCATTACTTCTATCAGACCATCTGCTGATTGTCAGAAGATGTCGACAGGTGCAGATTAAAATTTAAAGATAAATTAATTAATAAAAAATAATTAATTATTAATAAAAATAATTATAAGTCACATTACATTAAACTATTATATTCCATGCTACACAGACATTCTAAATTACCCAGCAGACAAAAACCTAGTATTTATACTTATTTATTGAAAGCTATATGGATCTATACTTGCCAAATTTATGGATCTGCAAAAAAGACAAACAGACAGAAAATAAAAAAAGTTCCAATCTCAATTTTTAAGACTGATTGCGAAATCACCACCCTATAACTCTATAAGAGACCCTTCACTCTGACTTATACGTTCCGACTGCAATAACTCATATAAACAAATTTATACAACAAATGACATTCCTGATGTATCTCGGCGTAGGCTGAAAAGGAGTTGGATGAGGGACCTCCTAGTGTAATAATAAAATTCAGCTGAATGTCAGGAGTATGCATGCTATCTCCCTCATGCTTACCCATGTTTATTTTATATTAGCTCATTTGCTGATTGTAATATTTTACAGCTGTAAATCAAATAGTTGAGTAAAAAAAACAAAACACTAACGATATCAAGTTTTTTATAACATATCCTTATATTATATTATATAACAATGTTTAAGTGTGTAGGTGTGTTTGTTATATCGTATTGTATATTCTTAAAAATGGTGCTAGAAAAAGTAGGATTATATACAATCAAACTTGTTAGTTGGTGTGAATGTTTTTTTTTTTCCAATTTGATACCGTATAAAAATTTGGCTAACCCAAAAATTCTCGAAGATCTAGCTTTGGGAATGGACGTGGTGGAAACGTTTTTGAAAATGAAAATTTAAAATGCTAGTAGTCATGCCAGTAGGTATCCCTGTTAGGAATATATATTAAAAAAATAAATAAATTTACATACTTTTTCGATTAAAGAAAAAAAAGATCATATATTTTTTCTTGCCGTTAGAATTTGCAGTTTCATCCTCATTTGCATCTGAATTTCTCAACGATTTCTTCATCGCTTTCTAAACGGCTAATTATTTTACTTTTTCAGCGACAGGAGAAGAACGGAACTTTCAATAGGCATTTAACTTGAACAGAAATTTTGCAAAAAACAATTTGGAGGGTTTGTTATCTTGGAACAAGACAATAATCGCAAGTCATAAGGATTAATTATTAAATAAAATTAATAGTATATTTTTATTTATTATTTATTAAATAGATATTATATTATTGTATAATTTTTATACTCGAAGATTTATACCATTTTCTGTTGCATTGTCCTACATATGTAGCTTTTAGAAGTATTTAAATAAAAATATTAATGGTAAATTGTGACGATAAAGATCAAATAGCACAAATATTACATATAGAAAACAAATATAATTTCAATGATTTGATACTTATATGTAGAAAGTTGTATGAAATAAAGAAGGACCAAGAATTATATTTTAATTTGTTCATGAAAGATCTTTTTGGTTAGAGTTATATCAAACACAATAATTTTATTTTGTATATTATATTATGTATGGTTTTTACTATTAATATAGTTAATTAGGTATCATATTCTTATAAATGTATGTATATGAAACTCAACTCCATTTGTAAGGGTTAGCCAGAAAACAAATACAAATTTATTATTATTATTATTATTATTATGTTATATCATTATTATTGTAGATTATTTATTTGGTATTTTGCTTGTTTTTATTTATTTATTTATATTTTCTGTAAATATAGTGTAAATGTAGTCTTACCTCAACATAATCATTATCCATGTCTCAGAAAGTTATATTACTCAATAAAATTTCTTTTTTCTTTTTTTAATCTATCTCTTCTTTGTTCTGATGATGCCTGGACTAGTGAAACGTTTTCTGGTAATATGTTCACTGCTATTTGAGAGATGTAATGTTTTATATTTGATTAAATTAAATTATTAAATTATTTTATTGAGTCTATTTAAGTTGCTTAAATGTTGGTTATACCAATTCTTTAAATATAGTAAGTAAGATTGTCAAGTATTAGTAACTACTTCGCCTTAATTTTTATATAAAAAATAGATTTTTTTTACCAGTTCTGGTCTTGGTCTTGCAACTGTTAGACGGCCTAGGTCTTGGTCTTGCAAAGTACAACACCAAGACCGATTTTGGGCAACACTAGTTAGGACATGGGTCCGGTTTTGAACGCGTGGGTTAAATTTGTTTCTCGGTTTTCCCGGTACCGATAGTACTGATACAAGTACCAGTAATCCCCCTACTAATTTTTATTTTAGGATATCAGTTGGACTCAACCCAATGATGTTCTTTACTATGGAAAGCCCAGATATTTAGTTATTCTGATGAAATATAACTATTACAGGGGAATTGTGGTGACAATGTTCTATATTACCGAGGCGATGCCATCCTATCGGGTTTTATGTTACCCAAACAGTGTCACAATGCCAACAGCTTCGTGATAGTTTCTCCTCAGCTTCAGGATTCAGAACACGTGCGTACTTAAAGTCGTATACGGAGCCAGGAAATTGCGGAACTGTAGTTACATTATGTCATATTAATAGCAACTTACAAAAAAGTCTTTAAACGAAAAAGTATAGTTTATTAAATATACAAATCTGAAGCAGGGGACTGAAAACAGTCAGTTATTACAGAACCAAGGAAACAATAATGTATCACGTAGCTAGGAAGTGTAATGTTCAAACATACGGTACAACATCTGTTAGCAGATGATATAATGTGCGATGATGTTTCGCGAAGAGAATAAAGGTCCTCGTGAAATTGAATCGTGACATTCACAACTTACATATGATTCCATGTAACGCACGCGAATACCAACGCGTGTCCATGTGTTTGTGTGCCAGCAAAGAGGAATATAACGAAGGCACTGCAACTTCTTGGATAACAGCGAAAGAGGAAGTCCTTCTTTGAGTGCCTTTAGAGAAGTTTTAATTACAGAAGAATATTTTTAAGAATCACCTCTTCTTCTTTAAGCAGTTCATCATTAATTGTTACGGATAACCTGATAATCATGAGGATAACTTGCGGCCCACATGTCGAAATGAAACGAAAGACTTCAAACAGGCGACTGAAAATATTTTACTCACTTATTTATTATTGAACTCCTGTATTTAATAATTTCTTTAGTAACATAATGAACTATTGGGTTGGCAAATAAGTCATTTCGATTTTTTAAGGTGAAATAAACAATGTATAATGGATATAAAAATTATTTTCATCTACAATATATTGACCATTATTTAATAAGAATTTTTTCCATCTTTCCACTAACTGCATAATGCCATGTTCATAGAATGTCTGGAGTTTATTGTTAAAAAACTGATCCAAGTGGTTTTTTTTATGTCCTCTTCCTTTTGGAATTTCTTTCCATTCATGGAGTTCTGCAGAGACCGGAATAAGTGGTAGTCACTTGGAGCTAGGTCTGGTGAATAGGGAGGGTGTCCCATCCAAGGCTCAATAATTTATTGTGAGTGACCAATGAGGTGTGGGGCCTAGCGTTGTCTTGGTGGAACACAATCCTTCCGATCATTCATAACTCTTCAGGATGTTCTCCAAATTCGGTGCACTATATATTTGTTGAAAAGCTGAATTATTGCTTTTCAAAGCCGTATGAATTGTTTTTTGATTTAATGCCTATATAAGGAATAAATAAACAAAAACTCCTTATAGGTTTTTATTTCTATTTGTAGTTTGTTTACGAAGGTCCTGTTGATGTCATTTTGTGTAGTTTATGTGGCCCTAAATTTCTTTTAGTCCACAGTAGTATTGAAGTTATAACATTTTTTGTAATTTTCGAAAATAATTCAGTGAGGGATCCAAATATTAAGCCTGTAAACAGAACCGAGCTTGTGAAAATGGTTTTCTACTCTTGTGTGCGACACATGAAGGACCATAGCAATCTCTCGCACAGATTGGGTGTGATTTTGATCAACAATGTCCTTCACATTGTTAAGGTTTCAATCTCATGTGGACGACCATACCGTTGAGCATCATCGATATCAAAATTTCCTGAATGAAATTTGGCAAATTTGACAGGTGCGTTCGGTTAAGGCATCATCCCCATAAATACTGCAAATATTTCTATGAGCTTCTCCTGTCTTCAGACATGAAATAATAATCAGCTAATCCATGCCCGTGGATCTCAAGTCGAAGATTAGAATTTACGATTCAAAAATTTCATTTTTTTCGGTTATAGCTTATATCAGTGAAACTATGTGTTCTAGCGATAATATTGTTCTATGAAAAATTAAAGCGCATAAAATTTGAAACAGAAATGATTATACTTATTTTTATGTTATCTTCTTTATTTTACGAGATATCTGTCCTCGTAATTCACAAACTTTGAAATCAAAATTGTTTTACCTCGCATTTTTATCATTATTAGACTCGCTAACTATAAAAATATGATACCTTTTTTGCCACAGGGAAGTTAAGAAATTCTCTTAAAGTTTTTATCATTAGTATCCTTTTGTTATTTTAATTTATTTTTTTATTGTAATATTGTATTTCTTTAGAAATTTAATTATTTTTTCAACGTTTGATCATCGATACATTTATTTTACACATTTCTAAATGATTAGTTCTGACTTATTCAGCAAGGTTATTGTCTTCTCATTCCAAATGAACGTTAGACTAGAAATAGTTCTACCATCTTAACTATTACTGAACTCGATGTCGACATCCAAAGCTAACTAACTACAAGAGCTCTGCCTGAAGGATCCTCCGCATGTTCCCAGAACGTCATCATGAAGATATCCTTCTATCCGAAGAGGATCAACGTCAGTCAGAAGATAAGAGTGACGGCTGATCGTGAACTCATTTGAACGGAGGCTCTCGAGTTGCGCAACGCTATCAGGTGCCCGATGGATATTGAGTAAGACTGGACATAGGCATTCATCTGAATATATACTTGAATACATTAGTACTTTTGAATATAATTAAAAATAAATAAATTAAATTTGAAAACTGTAATATTTAAAAATAATTGTTATAATTCTAAAATTGTAGATTGAAGTAACTAAAGATATGTATATTTAAATATTATTCTATATTATTCTAGTATATTCTAGTATATTATTCTAGTTGAAAAGAAAACTTTTGCAAAGTAGAAAATAGTGTTCAATTTATCAATACGCTAGGATTGAGCGATTTATTCATAGGAAAATAACATTATAATAAAATTTTCAGATTTATTTATTAATAATTTACCATATGTTTGTTCCAAATAAAATTATTTTTGAGGTTTGATACAGCTGTTTGAAACAGCTGTAAGGGTTGAATTTTATACTGGGTCCAGAAAGCATTGTTTACGCAAATTACTGCGTTTGAGGTACAATTAAGTATTTTCACACGGGAAAGAATTTTTCTTTTTTTGGAAGAATATTTAATTTAACCAAATTTCGGCTAATTGTCCTAAAAACTCGTATTGTAATTGAAATTATATACTCATATAAGTATTATAGCAAATTATTAAATTACGGATATGCACATTATCATACAGTGTCTGGCTTACACAACTTTGGCATCAAACTATATAAACTATATTTGTTTTTAAATAAATTTTTTTTTATTTTACTTTTTTTCTTTCAGTTTATAAATTAATTAAGATTAAATTAATTCCTTAGAAAAATATAGCTTTAATTGTCATCTATGTCATTCTTAGAGGAGTAGCGGATCCAGGATTTAATTTTAGGCGAGTTTCTACTTCCTGAAAATTTCTTTTACATAAAAATAAAAATTCTTTATACGAGTAAAAAATGAATAAATAATCATATATGATGGCGTTATATGGTTTCCAAGAAAATTTCAATGTCAAAATATGTGGTACAAATTCCTAATGGAGATTCATTTGTTTTCAAGATCTCGATCAAACATGGTTATATTTTACCATTTTGGGGAGGACTTCGACCGAGATTACGCACGGCCACCTAGATACTTCTCTTCTTTATTCATTGAATCATTCATTATTTATTATTTAATTCGTTTTAACTTTTTTGAAGTTTCCGTATACTTAAAAAAAAATCTTCTTTACATGAGTAAAACGAATTAAGTACTATAAGATATATCAAGTATGATAGGGTAATATGATCTGTGTACATCGTTAGGAGCTACATCTATAGCAACGCAGGTTTTTCAGCCCCCATTTTGAAAGTAAAAGGCGAATAGTAATGTCGATGAAGGAGGATCATCCTCGGATGAACTCAGATTTATATCCAAATTAGAAAAAATCGGTCCAGTAGTTTCGGAGAAAATGCGCGGACAGCGGACGGACAAAAAAATTTGTATTCGTTTTTCGAATTCTACGTATCCTGAAACGTGAAACCTCAAATTTTGAGTGGGGGTTAAGTTTTTGAATTTTTCGGTCGATCACAATGGTTCATTATTGAAAATAATAAACCAAAAATAATGAGCCCGTAAGTAAATAAATTGATAGATCAATCTTTGCATTATTTATGTGAATGAAACTGTTAGAATTCTGGGAATTTGGTGATGATGAAAAAGAAACACAATGTAAACAAAACGAAAATTTACTTCTGAAATAAATCAATTATAACACTACACGTACTGGTATTAATTAACAGATTAAAAACTTAAGAGGGTTAAAAACAAAAAACAGTGTTGCCAGATAGATTTAAAATATTGGTGATAGTTATTGTTAATAACCCCCCTCATCCTACACATGCGGCATTGATCTCCAACAGAAACTAACTCTTTATAGTCATTTAGTAAGAGATTTGTAATATTTTAACAATAAAATTATAATACAATATAATATTATTATATAGGAGGGGATGATGGCATATCAGCAAAGGAGGACGTGCTTCTATAGATCGGTTGATTCAGTTAAATCAAATTGGCTGTATAAACGGCACACAAAGGGATTAGAAACCTCTGCTGAATATATTAACAATCGGACATTAATATACAAGAGGCAGGGATATAAACAAGCAGCTTCCCAACATTGTTCCATCCGCGACAATTGGCCTTTGTGCAATGGGAAATGAATATGGCCGCCGCTCATGAGAAGTGTACCATCGCCTTTTCAAAGCGGCTGCTGAGAGTTTCGTTTTCTTTTGTTTGTAAATATCACCTATATATACAGCTTTACACGTTAATTATTGTCTGGGTTTAATTTATATTCAACGGCGCTATGTGGTTGAAAATCAGAAAACAAAATGGAATCCCAATTTGTGAGCTACTAAAAAATAATTTTTTGGATAATGAAGAGAAGAATAGTTGGGGTGTTCAGTCTAAAAAGAAGGCAAAAATAAATGATAATATTTATTTTTACATATGCCGACGTTTCGACCTGAAGTTCAGGCCTTCATCAGGGCTAAGAAAATAACCAGATAACAAGGTATGAGAAACATAAGTAGTGATGGTAAAAAAAATAAATAAAAAATAATAAAAATGAAAAATAAAATAGATAAATATAAAGTAAAATGAAATTGTTAGAATAATGACTAAGAACTAAGAGATAAATAATAAAAACCGTTACAAAGTGTGGAATGATGAAGTAGGCATAATCAAAAAGGGTGACAAAAGTGTTACAATGGGAATCTTAGAATAAAATTTATTACATTTTATTCTAAGATTCTACCTTTGATTATGCCTACTTCATCATTCCACACTTTGTAACGGTTTTTATTATTTATCTCTTAGTTCTTAGTCATTATTCTAACAATTTCATTTTACTTTATATTTATCTATTTTATTTTTCTATTATTTTTTTTTTTATCTTTTTTACCATCATTACTTATGTTTCTCATACCTTGTTATCTGGTTATTTTCTTAGCCCTGATGAAGGCCTGAACTTCAGGTCGAAACGTCGGCATATGTAAAACATAAATATTATCATTTATTTTTGCCTTCCTTTTTGACTGAACACCCCAACTATTCTTCTCTTCACTTCTTATACAATCATTTCTTTATTGATTAATATTATAATCTATCACAACTAAGGAATGAATATTGATACATGTGTTCATTCACACCGTATGTATAATAAATAAATATAAATTAAATAGAATAACAGCAAAATAATAATACTAGAAATAAATATATATAAACAAAAAGAAACTTAAACTAATCAAAATAACAACTTAAATATAGGCAAACGTTTATATAATATTTACAAACCCAGGAGAACTCGCAGCCAAACCTTTCCCTTCACTCTTAAATGGAAAAGCAGGGACCTCAGGAATAGTGTTACACAAGAAGACCAAGACCAAGAATGATTAAAAAAAATCGATTGTTTGAATACAAATTAAGGCAAAATAGTTACTAATACTTGACACTAGCGGATCCAGCATTTAATTTTTTTTTGGGGGAGGGGTGCTTCAGCCCGAAAGCTTTTTTTTTCATATACATATAACGATAATTAACTTGAAAAAAAATTAATTATCTATATGAAATGGTGTTTAAGTGGTTCTTGAAGTCCTATTAAATGTAATTACATGAACAATAATACTTTAAGAGATAGATTTTAATATTTTTTTCTGTAAAGTTTACAGAAAAAAATATTACATTTTACCATTTTGGGGGGAGGGTTCAGCCCGAAAGCTCCCCCCCCCGTAGATCCGTCACCATTTTACCATTTTAGTTACTATATGTAAAGAATTGGTATAACCAATATACTTTTGCATTTAACTCTTTCAATTTTTCATTCTTGCTTAATTAGGTTTCCACTATCTAAAAAATCACACTAATATCTCTAAATTAATAAGTTAATAGATATTTAAGTTAAGTTCAAGAACGTTGCGAGACTCTTGGGCAACACTACCTCTCACTCAGCCGCATCACTGGTATTAAGGACCAGTGGGGGCTAAGGATTATATAATTTTAGTTATAATTAAATTTGCTTTAAGGTGATTTGATTCAAATGTTTTTACCATTGTTATTTTTGAGAGAATTATAAGATATATATATTTCGGAAGAAGAACCCATACTATTTCTCACATTTATAAAATAAAAGATTTTGATTTTGCGGAAAGATATAAGGTGCGAAATTTATTGCGAATTAAATACTAAATGTCTATCAATGAAATGCTTGGTTTTAAATCAGAAATAAAAATCAAACAAGTTTTCTAAAAAAAACATTCAACTGTTGTTCATAAAGCTTAAATAAATAAAGTTTAAATATAATAAGAACAAGATGGAGTTTCTGATTTTAAACCTAAATAGATAAAAGTTTTTTAGGCGCGTTTTGCCTTTTTTTGTGGAGAGTGAATTAGATTGAGCCGTCAGATCTCCGATGTGTAACGCTCGAGTAAAGTCAGCTGCAGTCGTCTAATTGAAGTGTTTTTACATATGGATTAAAATATCTCAAAAACTAAAAAGCGGACCTGGATGTTGTTAGCGAAGGAAATGTTCATCATTTCATCCTCTTTGTAAAGAGCTATTATTCAAAATTATAATAGCGACACCTTAACGCGACACGGTGCGAAAAGGAAAAAAATCAGTGTCGAAAGCTAAATGATAACGATATGGATTAAAGATATTATGAAAAATATGGATTAAAATAACTCAGAAATTTAAAATCGGACCTACATACTGTATGCAAAGAAAATGTTCATCATTTTATCCTCTTTATAATGAGCTATTATTTATGATTTATATTTCATATTATTGATGTCGCCTTGATGAAGTATTCAATTCTACTGTGCGGTCTAAAGCACACAAATATTTTTTTTGAAAAAAAGTAAAAATGATCACAGAATTTTCTTTACGAATAATTAAAAAAGTACACAAATGGTATTGTACTGTTTTCGATTGTAAGTATAAGGACAGAAAAAAAATAATGATGGAAACATGCAAATTCATTTATATTTTCCTCAAATTTTCAATAATGGTTATGGTCAAACTACTGGGCGAAACTAATGTTTGTAATTGGGTAGCGAATACTAAGTTGTCATTTGAA